AGAGCTCTCTGACCCTCCCATAGACAGCAAGGGTCCTTACACGATCAAGGCTCAGAATTGTAGTAAGGACATCGTTAAAATAATCCATGTGACATCAGTGCTTCAACCGTAATTTTATGAAGCTATGAGAAAACAACGTATGTGCGTGCTTTGATCTGAACGTAAACGGCGCAGCGCATGCGTGTTCTGTGTCAGCAGCACCACGCGCATACGTTTTTTACGTTTAGATCATAGCATGTGCATGCATCGTGATGCTCTTCAAAATGGCACCAGGGTAATGCGGAGGAATAAAGTCGTTATTTTTGTTTTCTTTGCGCACAAAAAGTATGCTCGTAGCTTCGTAAAATTACGGTTGAACCCCTGATGTCACATGGATTATTTTAACGATATCCTTACTACGTTTCTGGACCTTGATCGTGTTCAAGGTCAGAGAGCTCTCGGAATTCATCAAAAATATCTTAATTTGTGTTCCGAAGATGAATGAAGGTCTTACAGGTTTGGAACGAGTAATTAATGCCAGAATTTTCATTTTTGGGTGAACTATCCCTTTAAATCTGGAACATCCTCTAAATATGATGCTCAAAGGCACAATAGTGATGGCTCGCTTCTTGCAAGGACTAAACTAACAACCTTCCGGTAACCAGCCCCTAGTCTTATTCGTTTATATGTGCTATGTTTGAATACCTGACTGGACTGTTTCCTGCATCGAGATCCTGTGCTGTCACGGCTCCTATGATGGTGCCTTGTGGTGTGTCCTCATAAACATCCATCGCGTAGGAGGGTTTGCTGAAGACGGGAGGCTCATCCACATCCAGAACGTTTATCTTCACTGTCGCTGTGTCTTTGAACGGGCCAAAATTGTGGAACCGTGGATCCAGGTGTGCATTGGAGGCCTCCACTTTAAATGTGTATGCTTTTTTGGTCTCGTAGTCCAACGGCTGGGGAAAGAGAAACAGGAAAAAAAAAATTGAATGCATCAGATTTGTTCAGGTAAAGTTTGACAAGGCCTCTTGAATTAGACAACACTGAGAGGTCAACGTTTGGCTGGTTATTCTATATGTGTTTCTGTATTTGTTTTATTTTATACATTTATTATTTTTGACTTTAAGTTTTGGGTGAGTAAGATTTTTTTTAAGAAGTCTCTTATGCTCACCAAGGCTGCATTTATTTGATAAAAATACAGAATAAAACAGTAGTATTGTGAAATATTTATATTAAATGTTTATTAACAATTTTTATTTTAATATATTTTAAAATGTTATTTATTCCATTGATGGCAAAGCTGAATTTTCAGCAGTCTTCAGTGTCACATGATCCTTCATAAATCAATCTTATATGTCGACTTTGTGCTCAAGAAATGATTAGAAGTGCTGAAAACAATTGTGGTGTTTAATATTTTTGTGGAAAATAGTTTTATTTCAATCTCCTTTGATGAATAGAAAGTTCAAAAGAACATTTATTTTCAATAGAAATCGTTTGTCATATTATCAATGTCTTTACTGTCACTTTTGATTGATTTAATGCATCCTTGCTGAATAATAAATTAAGTGCTTAAATTATGCAGTAAAAATTAACATACACTGAACAAAATTATAAACGCAACACTTTTGTTTTGCCCCCATTTTTCATGAGCTGAACTCAAAGATCTAAGACTTTTTCTATGTACACAAAAGGCCTATTTCTCTCAAATATTGTTCACAAGTCTGTCTAAATCTGTGTTAGTGAGCACTTCTCCTTTGCCGAGATAATCCATCCACCTCACAGGTGTGGCATATCAAGATGCTGATTAGACAACATGATTATTGCACAGGTGTGCCTTAAGCTGCCCACAATAAAAGGCCACTCTAAAATGTGAGCCTAAGGCACACCTGTGCAATAATAATGCTGTCTAATCAGCATCTTGATATGCCACACCTGTGAGGTGGATGGATTATCTCGGCAAAGGAGAAGTGCTCACTAACATTCTCTGAAACGCCTTTGGAGACGGCTTATGGTAGAGAAGTGAACATTTAATTCACGGGCAACAGCTCTGGTGGGCATTCCTGCAGTCAGCATGCCAATTGCACGCTCCCTCAAAACTTGCGACATCTGTGGCATTGTGCTGTGATAAAACTGCACATTTTATAGTGGCCTTTTATTGTGGCCAGCCTTAGGCACACCTGTGCAATAATCATGCTGTCTAATCAGCATCTTGATATGCCACACCTGTGAGGTGGATGGATTATCTCGGCAAAGGAGAAGTGCTCACTAACACAGATTTAGACAGATTTGTGAACAATATTTGAGAGAAATAGGCCTTTTGTGTACATAGAAAAAGTCTTAGATCTTTGAATTCAGCTCATGAAAAATGGGGGCAAAAACAAAAGTGTTGCGTTTATAATTTTGTTCAGTGTATTTCAGTTAGCCCCTGCAGGTGGATGTTGTAACTACAGCATCAGGTTCAAAAAAAGATGCTAACAGACAGCGTTCTCCATATTGGCCACTCATTAAGGTCTTACATTAAAGCTTAATTTATTTATTTGCGTTTTACCTTTTGCATAAATTGTTCGCTTTGATCATTTAGAATGCGGGGCCTTTCTCAGATCTCGAGTGTGTCGATGTCAGCCTGTCTAGGGAAGTTTGTCACAATTGCTTTCAGGCATGTCAAACAAACAACACACACTCCAGAAATGGTTCTCTCACGCTCCCATGCACATTTTCTCCTGATGTTGCTCCCCTTCCTGTTGATTCGAGGCCCCTTTTCTGCTGAAATCTATCTTTAAATTCTCACTTTGGTTCTTCTAAATCAAAGCTTGTCTGCCGTCAGTATGACAGCCGTAAAATGTACGTGTGTGGATGATTGTGGTCTTGCACCACTAAATCGAAGCAGCCCATCTAGAGATGAAATTCATACAGTGCTATCTCTGTCAATCTCTCTCTCTGGGAGATGGCGAAAGGGCAAAGGAGACAAAGATCATATATCTGACCTGTATACGGTTTCCATCATGAGCAATTTACTTCTGTATCATCTTCAGATGAAAACAAACACCATAGGTAGAAATGAATGACACCCGCAGATCCGTAAATACACATCATATGCACTCTATATGGAAGTAACATGTATATTGCACCAAAGCAAACAGCTGTTTAGCTGAGAAAAGAAAAGACGTCAACTTTGGGTGAGTGGCAACTCGGGATCATTTGGGATTTGGTGGTGTCAGATGCTCCTTGCTGAAGTTTCCACATCAACTAAATCAAATGGTGCTAATTAGACTCCCAATTAGGTGAAAGTGAACATTCCAAAACCTGCAGTTGCTAATTAGCTAAAGTTGGCATGAAAACAGACTCATTGGTATTACTGAAGTCTTAACTACATAATACAGGGAAAATAAGCTCACAGTTGCCCACAAGTAATTAGGAACCAAGTCATTTTACACAAAAGATATGTATCTAATTATTCAAACTAGCCTATGGCCTTCTGCGTCCCACAGAGACGAGACTGTTTGGCCTTTAGAGGATAAGAGATGCATTGATATCAAGGTTGCAAGCAACAGAAAAATGTCAGAAAGGCAGTTTGCAGGGAAAATAGCTTGATTTTCAGAAAAAAAAGGACACGTGGAGGACTTCGGTCTTCTTTAATATGCATAACGCTAGTAAAACTCTATTTCCATCCGGATGACATTACGCCACGTCCCTCGTTTCAATCAGAACGCATAGTCTTTGTATAGCCTCTAATTTGAAACAAAAGCTATAAATTGCTCTCTGACTGCCATTTCATGTGGTTATTTTCCATCTTGGTTCCCTCAAAGGAATCTTTAGTGATGCTTTAGTGATGCTCATATTGAATTATGGCTGGATCTTCACAGTCGCGTTGCTTGAGAAAGGCCCGCACTGAAAGCTTGAGAAAGGCCTTGTGATTTGCTTTCCCTCCATGACAATATTTTCATTTATACTCCCCCAGAGTGAGTTTTCAAGGTAATTTAAGCTTGTAAACTACTTGGCCACATAACAGCTTTGCTTCGGTATAAATTAATACTTAAAAACATGCAAAAATAGAGAGATAGAGATACTAAACAACATCTGCCTCACCTCTTCACTAATGCTGACTTCATAAAAATGGGATATTTGCTACTGTCAGACAAATGTGAAACTATCTTCTTTGCTCAGAATATGATATATTCCAATATAATATACGAATATAACATCTGATAGAAAAAAAAAAACACATATGTACAGCCTTGAACCTCAAGCGAGCAGGCCAGCAGTCCATCAAAACGACAAATAATGAGAAAAAGATGAATGTGTTACTCATCTTTTCCTTTTTCGTGTGGAATGAATGTAACTGTAACTGGATAAAAGTTAATAAAAATAAAAATATATCTTTTTAAGGTTTTTGAAATAACCACTTATTCTCACAAGGGCTGCATTTGATAAAATACAGTAAAAGTAGTAATATTGTGAAACATTATTTTAATTTAAAAGATTGTTGTCTTTTTAAATATATTCTAACATGTAATTTGAACTTGTGATGCAAAGCTGAATTTTCAGCATCATTATTCCAGGCTTCTCCATTAAACTTTCCTTCAGAAATCATTCTAATATGCCAAAAAAATTGCTGCTCAAGAAGCATTTCTTATTATTATCAATGTTGAATTTTGCTGCTTAATAATTGTGGAAATTATGATGAACTGCCAATCAAAAGTTTGGGGTGTTTTTTTTTTAAATACAATTAAAACATTTTTTAATCATTTAAAGTGAGAAAAAGACGTGTAATCTTACAGAAATTTATATATTTTTTAATGCTGTTCTTTTAGGCATTCTATTCATCAAATAATGCATTACCATTATTAATATTTGATCACCAAAAATAATTGATAATAATTGAGCACAAACTCAGAATAAAACACAAAATAATGATTTTTGAGGTATCATGTGACACGGAAGACTGGAGTAATGATGCTGAAATTTCAGCATTAGAAATTACATGTTAAAATATATTAAAACTGAAACCAGTTCTTTTAAATTTCACAATTTTACATTTTAACTGCATTTTTGATCAAATACTGTAAATGCAACCTTGGTAAGCACTTTTTATGTTATCTAAGCATGGATAATGAGAAAGAAGCGCTCCATTACGCACATTTCCAAATCAACGCCTGCTCTCACAACCTTGTACATCAGATTCCCATTTGAGTTTTCACGACAGGCCCGGGATGTGAGGTGAAAAGGGTGAACCAGACATGGCGTCTCCTGTGTCCGGTATTGATGGTGGATGGTGGACGTGAACGGTGATTAAATGTCAGAGAAAGCTGCAGGATTATTGGAGGTGAGGAGGTTTAGCCTAGAAGAATGTCAAGAGCATCATTGCCCTTTTAGTGTGTGTGAGTGGCCACATCAACCCGGCAGCCTCGGTTAATGACTTTACGCCGAGACAGGGGAAAAGAGAGAGAAAGAGAGAAAAGATGCAGGAAGGGTAATAATGACAGTGACTCAAAACTAATGAAAGGCTCTTCAAGTGTGTCACTAGTTGTGATGAAACCCAATCACAATATGAAGACTATAGTTTACGACAGCTTTTTCTCGTAAAGGTCCTGAATGCTTTATATTGTGCCATCAGCACTAAACCCTTGACCATGAGAAATAGAGCGGTTGCTTTAATAGCATAGAGGTACCTGTATAGCCACTTACTGATTACACTTGAGTGGTAAGACGAAACTAGCTTCTGAACTGAGAAAGAATATATTCATCAAGAAAATGTTCAGAGACTTTCACCTGTGTTAGGATATAGCATCCTGGATTATTACATTTTCTTACAAAATGTGCATTTTTCCTTGCCTGTCACTCAATATGGGTCAGACTGAAAAATAACATATATCAAATATTCATTATAAAATCAAAATATCTGGCAGTGAATTAATTAATTGAGACTGCAAGGTGGTTTCAAACTAATTTTCAGCTC